ATCCTATGCATATTCTCTTTCCGCTGCCGAAGAAGCGTGGCAAACCCGAGGAGAATCCATTCGGTATAATAATGGATTTAGCTGAGCCAGTTGTTGATATCGCAATCGAGGAAGTGTATCGTCGTCAAATAGTGCCACTCGGTTCCTTAGTCACTCATTTCAAAGACACACAACTCTCAGATGCACACGGTCCCAACGTTGCAATCAATCAGCTGGTTAAAGGCAAGCTCGACTGTATAATTGGCTATGCGTTCGTCTATGCGTTAGCACCAGTTGCTCGAATGTCACCATACTGGAAGAGTGCAACGAACGATGGCATTCCAGTCATCACTTCTATTGGTCTAACATCCAATCTCGATAATCGTACTGAATATCAATTAATGACACGAATCACAAGTCCCTATAAAGTGGTCACGCGTGCCGTTACCAAAATCTTCGATCAAATGAACTGGTTGAAAGTGGCTTATATTTTCAACGAGCAGCGCCACGGTAGCAGCAATACTGGTATTCCATACGGTGAATGTTACCTGCAGATGGCATCATTACAACGTCTTCAATATAAGAAAAATAAAATGGATCATAATTATTTCATGTTTAACGAGTTGAAGCACGACCTTGATGTACTGCGCGACAGTCTTCGTAAAGCCAGTATGCTTAGCAATGGTCAGTACTTTTCTTTATTTGCTGCCTCTGATTGATGGTTGAGTATTGTCTTGTTGAGTACTGTGTTCAGTTGTTTGAGCACATTCTCTTTACTGCTCGATTCTGTTGTTTTCCTAAACATGGATCGATGCATTTTTTGTTAATTGCATGTCAATGTATTCATAAATGGCGCGCATTTTCTCCATCAGAGCGTATCAGGCGACGAATTTATATCACTTTAAATACGAACTCGGAACGTTGGTGACTTTGTTGAAGGAGTAGTTTTTTTGGAAGGAAGATTTTTTGGCGAAGTGCACTACATTTTGTGATCCATCGTGCTCCTGCAAAATTTTCTTAGCGGAAATGTTTCTTGCTTGACGCTTACCAGCCAGAAAAATGTTTATTTTTTAAGCATTAGAGGTTCATGAAAGAAGATGCGAAGCTGATGTATAATATTTCTTAAACGTAACTCGATAGTGACATTGACTCGAGCAAAGCAGATAATCAGTATCATTTGGGTTTATATTGACGAGAATGACAATTTTTTCAAATTCCGAAGTCTCATCTCTCAAAAACAAAAAACAACCTCTGTGGTATTATGCGTCAGAAATCAATCTGGAAGTCGCTAAGTCAAACCGTTTTCTCGCCTGATATGCCTGAACGAGCAAAAAAAGTAGTGTGACATTTTAAGATAATTTTGTATTGATCAACCATCCAGAATGATGCGTGATGCGTTTTTATATTCTATTCAACTTCTTTAGAGGATCAGACAGATAAAATTTCGAAACCCATGCAATATTCAACAGAACAATTGATTCAGCGACCTTTTAGATCTGAAGCGAAATTTAAAGTAGGCTGTGTTTAGACCAGTGGTTCTCAACCTTTTTTTTGCGCATACCCCCTAAAAAATTTTAAAATGTCTTCACACCCCTCACAACAATAGTATATTTAAGGATAAAAGTAAACGCGACCGAAAAACTTTTTATATTATTAATTTTTGTTAACATGTAAAAAATGATCATTTGAAAATTCAAAAAAACATTATAAGGAAATATCAACTAACAATGTTTGAGTGGCGCTGATTTCAGCTTGTTTGAGGCTTCTTTTCCTGGAACAGTTGTTGCCATTTTTAATGCACACGGCTCCATCAAATGCTCTGCAATTGTATGCGGCTTTGTAAATTTGGCTACGTTATATTCCACGCATTATGAAGCCATCAGTAGGGGTTTGTCAGCCGATATAAAACCTAAGATTGGAAGAGTTCCTTGATAATCATAGCGAGACCTACACTTTTCAACAATTCAACATCACGACCAGCGATATATGTGATTCAACAGCGATGTATTCTCTACTATGCTGCTTGTTGAAGTGTTCCTGCAGTTTAGATGGCTTCAAATTTGCGTTTGAAAAGACAGTGTCACTAAGCATGCACTGAGGTCTTTGCAGATCCTCAATTGTTCCTTCGTAAATGAAAACAAATTTCAGATGATCATCATTCCTTTTTCTCGACATTACGAATGGTGAATTATTGTTGGTTATTTAAGAATGATAATTGATCAATTTTTGATGCTTCGGGAGGTTTTTCGAGTCACAATTGCGTAACAACGTAAGGTGAACGAATAATAAGAAATAGAAATCGAGTGTAGTCCTAAATTTCTAAAAAAAAGCCGGAAACAACAGATTTGATCTCCATTTCAGAAGTCCCAAACCCTGGATTTAAAATTTGAGGCGTGTCATTTGAAAGAAAAAGCGCGTCGAAACGCACAAAAATTCACAGAGCATTTTATTGTAAGTAATAGCCAAAAGACGACGACATCTCCAGCTGTAATTTGAACGTTAAAATACAGATGTATGCGTTGAATTCTGCCCTCGCCTAATGTAATGTATGAAAAATGAAATTTTATCCCCCTCCTCCCTGGGACACTATCTCATACCGTCAAGGAGCGCAAGCACCCTGATTGAGAAACCCTGCTTTAGACCGAAAGAGGTTAGGTGTGGCATACATTTTCCACAATTTTGTTTTTCTGCACACAAATAATTGTCATTCTAGTGTTGACACCAGAATAATGTTTACAAGCAAAATGAGACGAGTAATCAAAAGGTTGAGTTTATGGGTGGAGTTAGTTGAGGTTGATTTTAGGTTCTAGATTTAGTATGAGCGAGTGAGTGGATTTGAACTGCCCAGAGCATCTTTTTCACAGATGCGAGTAGAGCCGGTTACGTGGTTGTTTGGTAGTAGTTTTGATAAATTTTCTAAATCAGATTCAGGCGGTCTCGCATTAAAAGTGAAAATATTGATTTGATAGATTGTTGGGTACCGATTGGTCGTAGAGCATGGAAATAGAATATTTGCCATCGTAATGTTTTGCCACTTATTCCAGTCTCATTTTTGAGGCTCATATGTTGCGTTTGTGGAAAGCTTACATTTTCGGTTAATTTACATTATGATCGTAAATTTTCGAAAATTTACGGTAGTAGCCAAATCTTCTGCCGGAAAGGGAAAAAAATGTCGAACAAATTGATGTGTGGTTATTAGCGAAGTATGTCTCTATACGACCCTTTTGGTAAGATTTTCTGTTCTGTTCTGTTCCGCCCTTAAACGGCTCTATTCTATTCTATTCTGTGCGTTCCTCGTTTGAGGACCGTTCTGTTGTTTTCTATTCTGCGCTGAAATCTTTCTGTTCTGTTCCCGCAGTCAGAAAAGTAGCACGATAAAACTTGTGGTAATTAGGGTTGAAAGCGTGGTTTCTTGGCGGTTTCAGTGCAGAGAAGATTGTCCACGCAGGGAGTTAACAGTTTTTGACCGTGATGATTTGAGGGAAACGGAGGGTTTCGGGCTCAGCATTATTGAAGAACAGAGGATTCCGGTTCGTCCTAATAATTCGGTCAGAAGCTGATACAAGGTTTCTCG